AATACTTATTTATTGATAAAAGTTATCTAGTAGAATAACAATTATTAATTATAAAACATTATAAACCGTTATGTGAAATATAAATAAGTTAGTATTTTGGTTATAAATTTAGGTTATTACCAAATAGGCATTTAATTTTATTTTATTTGGTTAATAAGTTAATTATAAATATAAAGCATCCTAGTCTTTATAATAAATTATTTGAAAGGACAAATGTTGATTTCAATATAAGATAAGATTAAACATTAAAATAATCTAATATTTATATTTATAAAATGATATTCAAATTAAAACTTGTACAATTTAAAATGCCAGCTTTACTATACATTAATATTCAATTTGTAATTTTGAATTTAGGAATCAAAGGCACAAACAAGATATTAAAATAAAATTAATTATTTTGGATAAATAATTTTATGATGTTATTATATAAAGTTTTAAGCATTAAGAATTTTCCTAGCACAATTGAGATAATTATGAAGATAATTAATTTTATTGAAGATATTGTCAAAATAGAATTTACAATTATTATTTTAAAAATTATGATGTGAAAATAATATATTACTTGAGTTAATTCAACTTACGATGCTTTATCACATCCACGTGTCCCATATATTTAAATAAGATAAACTGGACTATAATAGTATGTTATTGTATAACAAGAATATCCAGGTCCGGTCAACTAACGAAATGTCCTAGAGTCCAAATCGGTGATCATAATGGCAGGGCGGTATACATTTTTGTTATAAAATCCTATTCAACTTCTCATACTATATCAGTCAGAGTTACAATACAATGAATGAATGTATTTAATAGCAAAATTCTATGAAGGTTTTATAGATCGTCGTAAAATATTATCACCGATTTGAACACCTAAGACATTTCGTTAGTTGACCGGACCTAGATATTCTTGTTATACGATAACATATTATTATAATCCAGTTTATTTTATTTAAATACGTGGAACACACCATGTGAAAAAGCATCGTTAACTTATAGAGAACTTATAGTTTTTTGCTTATAGAGAACGGGTTTCATGTAAGCTCTATGAATGGCCACTTTCCCTGAATGTAGCTGAATATGTTGTATGTTGAATTAATGTGAGTGATCTTAGTTTTTACATAAGTTTACAAGTGTTTACATTGTATAACATTTAAAATATTTGTACTGAACTAATCATAATTATGGTCGACCAAGGAAAAATACATTTAGATAAAGAACAGTAGGTAAGTAACTACTGCACTTATTTGTACTCCACAAGGTGCAATTAATTTAATCAAACACATGTTAATAATACACTGGTGCATCACTAGTAAATCAACCTAACATTAAAACATAATAAATAAAAACTATAAATTAATTTAAAATATTCAAAATATAAATTATAAAATTATATAAGTCAAAAATGCATAATCAATTAAATTACATTGTTTTGTTGCTCACTCTCATTCACTCTATTATAGCCGGTATTTTGTATAAGATTTCATTATTAATAAAATCTTTTAATAAAATAATAATTATTTGCTTTAAACAGTCGGTGCCCGACGAGAGTGTATACCAAGGAAAGTGCAAAATGCGGACACAATGTGTGTTTGTAACGCCACGTATTGCGATGACTTCCCACCCCTTAAGAAACCAACCGATGGTTTCGTAACCGTTTATGAGAGCAATAAAGCCGGCGATCGGTTCACTGAAACTCAATTAAAATTTCACTCAAAGATCTCATTGGACTCACAGAGTGTTACCATAACTGTGGACAAGAATCGCAAATATCAGTCAATCTTGGGATTCGGGGCCGCCTTTACTGACAGTACGGGACAAATGCTTAGGTCTGTCAACGAATCGTTGGCCGACCTGTTAATAGACAGCTATTTCTCGGAAAATGGTATCCAGTACTCAATGGCGAGGGTACCCCTGGCCGGCACCGACTTCTCCGATCGGCCCTATTCTTACGATGACGTCGATGAGGATCTGGAGCTCAAGAACTTTGCCCTTCAGAAGGAAGACATCGATTGGAAGGTATACTCAATAAATAAATAGATTTTTTAAAACTATAAGTAAATTTGTTTTTAATATAATTTTGTAGATTCCGTACATTAAGAGAGCTCTGAAAGTAAGTCCACATAACGTCAGACTATTTGGCAGTCCTTGGAGTCCTCCCTCTTGGATGAAAAGTAATCACAATTTTTCGGGAACGGGTTATTTGAGAGGCGATGTCGGCGGACAGTACTACCAGTCCTTTGCTAATTATTTTGTCAAGTATTGTTTATATTATATTATTATATATATCAATTGTTAACATAAGTATATAATTAATATTAGATTTTTGGATTCATATAAAGCAAATGGCATTGAATTTTGGGGACTGACTGTTGAGAACGAGCCGATTGAGGGACAAAACAATAAGAGCTATAATTGTCTCAACTTCACGGGCCCTACGGAAAGGGATTTCGTAAAACTGAATTTAGGGCCGACACTGGAAAAGGCAGGCTATGGTAGAGATAAACTGCAAATCATGGTATACGACGACAACGCCTGGGGTTTAAAAGATTTCGTGAAACCCATTCTGGAGGACAAGGAGTCGGCCAAATACGTGTCGGGCATCGCCTATCACTGGTACGGAAACGAGGCAATGGGTGGTTGGCCTGACTATCTGCTCGACGAAATGCATAAAACCTATTCCGATGTATTCCTACTGAACACAGAGGCCTGTCATTTGGATGGACCCGAGTTGGGCCGTTGGGATTACGCCGAGAGATACGCCTACGATATCATCAGAGTATGTGTTCATTAGTTTCCAACCATTAGGTAGTGATTGAATTGATTGTAACAGGCGTTGAATAACTACGTGAGGGGTTGGGTGGAGTGGAATATGGCTCTGGACATGGATGCCGGCCCCCGTTGGTGCGAGAAGGCTGGCTACGGGGGCGCCCTTAACATAGACCCCA